CCAAAACTGATAAGAGATCCACTGCAAGATATTGCTCCTATATATGGGGTAATCTAGTGACTTGGGGAAGCAAGAAACAACAAGCAGCATCTCAAAGTTCTACTGAACCTAAATATAGAGCATTAGCTCTAGGGATTTGTGAAAGGATGTGGCTAGTCAAGTTGTCGAAGGAATTGCATATTGGAAGTAATGATCCTATTAAGGTCTCGTGTGATAGTATTTCAGCTATTAAAACAACAAACAATCCTGTACATCATGACCGTACAAAGCATGTGGGGATTGACCATCACTTTATCAAGGAAAAACTAGAGGCTAAGGTGACAGATATATCCTACATTCCCTCCATGCACCAGATTGCAGATGTCATGACTAAGTCTCTCACTCAGGAAAAATTTGAAGCTTTCATAGGCATGCTGGGAATGATTAACATATATTCATCAACTGGAGGAAGAATGTTAATAGTATGAGTAGACCTAGTTTTCTTTTTATAAATAGGATTATTATCTCCTAGAATCATGCTAGACTTTGTTGACTTTTATTGTAATTTATTTCTGATTATTCTCACCAAGATTATAGGAGTTTAAGGGATTAGATCAGATCTTATTCTTCCCTTTTTCCTATATAACACTTTTCTATCAATGAAATCATCAAGAGCTGTTACCACAGATTATTTCACCACATATTACACTAATATTATTCTTAACGTTATTACTTTCATGACATTATTTATTTCATTCAGATAGGATCTAGGAAGTTAATATTTAGTGTAAGTCTAAATCCTAGATATCTGGGATATGATATTGTCGAAGATGGGCCCTAGGGGAAGGCCCATTCATCCTTTAGTCTAGAATCAATTCAATCACAGTTATGTACTTTGTTTTTCTACCCGTTAGAAAAACAGATCCTTGGGCGTTAATTTAGGGATTACATCATATTTTTCTTTCTTGTTTTACTTCCTCATTAATTCTGGAGGATTTCATGCGATATGCTGAATCACTCCTCTCCCTATATGTATCACTCAATTCTATGGAATAATACACAGCTTTCTGTATACAAATTCTCATAGTATCAGAACGTTACCACTCATGTCTTTCAAAGAGGCTCTAACACAAAATTCCAAAGCTTTTGTCGCCGAGGGTGAGTCCACCTCAACGACAGCCACACCACAAAACATGACCGAGTCAGAAGGGACTCAGTCAATTGGTTTAGGAATGATTCTTTGTCCCAACTCATCATATCCCACCGCCTCAATGGTAACAACTACCTCCAATGGTTCAGAAATATTCTCATGTTCGTGTGTGGAAGAAGCAAGGAAAAATACCTCACTTGGAACCCTCAGCCACCAAAAGCCGAGGACCCACAGTATGAAACATGGTGTGCAGAAAACAACACCATAAAGACATGGCTTGTTCATTCCATGCTTCCCAAAATTAGCGAAAACAATCTACTCGCAAGTTCTGCACGGGAGATATGGGAATCAGCAAAGCGGACATGTTTTATTAAGGAAAATACTGCAACAACTTTTCAACTCAAACGCATGCTTCGCAGCCTCACTCAGGGGGCGAAGCGAAATCTGTCACCTAGTACTACAGTGCCTTGGTGCAACTACAGCTGCAAATGGACCTTTATGAAGTGCATCAATGGTCCTGCCATACAGATGAAGTCTACTTCAAGTAGGTAATAAACCGAGACTGATGTTATGATTTTCTCCTTGGCCTTAATGATTCTTTTGAAGATATCAAGGGAAGGATTATGAGCCTCAAGCCTCTTCCATCACTAGAAGATGCTTTCAATACAATTAAGAACGAAGAAAACAGGAAAGCACTTGTTCAAAGTCCATCCTTGGTTTTCCCCTCAACATGACTGAAAGCTCAGCCATGTTGAATGAGTTTTTGGCTGCACAGCCTTTGTATTTAATGAAGATGGTGGAAAATTAGATACTCGAGCTCTTAAATGTATTTTTCTAGGCTACTCTTCCTCCCAAAAAGGTTACAAGTGCTATTCCCCTACGACTAGACGTGTCTGTGTCAATATGAATGTTCAATTTGTGGAGTCACAACCCTTTTACCCCAAATTACCCATCCAGGGGAAGAGTGCTAATGAATGGCTAATTTGTCCTGAAGGTAGTAACTATAGCAGTGACAGACAACCTATACAACAAAGAAATCAAAGCAGTAACCCTAATAATGGTACCCCAACATCACCAGGAGCCCTTGTGGAGACCCCTATTTTTGAACCTGACCCTATTACAGCCTCTAGTGACCCTGCAACAACTGTCACAGCACCAGAAATACCACCAAACACCCCTGAAATGACACCCAATAGACCTGAAACCATTCTAGATTTACCTAATAACACTGAACCTACACCTGAAGCTCCCCAAGAGACAAACCAGCAATCATATACCATAGAGACAAAGGTGAACATGATAGAACAGCCAACAAACAGAGAAGAACCCATTAACATTCCAAGGCAGAGTCATAAATCTTACCCTGAGACTAATCCTGAAGATCTATAGTGGCCCATTGCTTTAAGAAAAGGCAAAAAGAGCTGCACTAGGCATCCTATTGGAAGGTATATCTCCTATGATAAACTTACCTCTCCATTCAAAGTGTTTGTAGTTAATCTTGATAATGAGGAAATCCCGAAGTCTTTTAACGAGGCCAATTCAAACCCTAACTATAAAGCAGCCATTAATGATAAACTGAGGGTTCTGGCCAAGAACCAAACATGGGAAGTAGTTAATTGACCCCCCGAATATCTATTGTTGAGAGTAAATGGGTTTTTACAAAGAAGTTTAATCCTGATGGTAGTATCAACAAGACAAGATTAGTTGCAAAGAGGTTTACTCAAACGTATGGCATAGACTACCAAGAGACTTTTGCTCCGGTTGCTGAGTTTAATACTATAAATATTCTTCTTTCTTTGATTGCCAATCTGGACTGGCCTTTACATCAATTAGATATCAAAAACGCCTTTTTAAATAGAGACTTAGAGGAGGAGGTATACATGGAAATACCCCTAGGATTAGAAGGTCCCGAAACCCTTGGAAAAGTATGTAAGCTCCACAAATCCTTATATGGGTTAAAACAATCACCAAGGGCTTGCTTTGAAAAATTCACAAGGACTGTTAAAAGAGTTTGGCTATAGGCAATGTCAAACTAACCACACTTTATTTGTGAAACACTCTAATCATAAGATTACTGTCCTAATTGTCAATGTAGATGATATAGTTTTGACAGGAAACGACCCTGAAGAGATTGCAGCAACAAAGTAGAAATTGGCAGCAAAATTTGAACTAAAAAGATTTGGGAAATCTAGGATACTTCCTCGGGTTAGAGATAGCTAGATCTCCAAAAGGCATTTGCATAACCCAAAGGAAGTACACCTTGGATCTACTAAAAGAAACAGGCATGTTGGGAGCCAGACCTGCTGCAACCCCAATGGAGCTCAATTGTAACTTGGAAGTGAAACCTGATAGAAAATCAATTAATAAAGAACAGTACGAGCGACTAGTAGGGAAGCTAATTTATTTGTCTCATACCAGGCCAGACATTTCATTTGCAGTAGGGGTGGTAAGTCAGTTTGCAAGCAACCCCCAAAAAGAACACATGGAAGCAATACATAGAATTCTCAGGTACCTAAAAACTACTACTAAAGGTCTATTTTTTGCTAAAAGTGGACAGCAAAATGTAGAGATCTACACAAATGGCACCAAAAGAAACCCAAGCATAGAGGGAGAGAAAGATATAGAAGTCTACACGGATGCTAATTGGGCAGGGTCAGGAGCTATCCATGACCGACGTTGACCGACGTTCTACCACTGGGTACTGTACATTTGTGTGGGGAAATCTTGTAACATGGGGGAGTAAGAAGCAACCAATTGTATCAAGAAGCTCAGCTGAATCTGAATATAGAGCTTCGGCTCTTGGCATTTGTTGAGGGATATGGGTAGTACACGTGTTAAGAGAACTCGGCATAGAAATAAATGCATCAATTAAAATGTGGTGTGATAATATGGCTGCACTCAAGATTGCAAACAATCCTGTCCAGCATGACCGAACAAAACATGTTGAAATTGACCGCCATTTCATCAAGGAAAAAATTGAAGCCAAAGTAATTAACCTAACCTACATTCCCTCTAGAAGACAGATTGCGGATGTGATGACCAAACCACTGATCAAGAACAAGTTTGATAAGTTGACTAGCAAGCTAGGAATGATTAACATCTATTCTCTAGCTGGAGGGGGAGTGTCGGAAATAGGCCCTAGGGGAAGGCCTATTCATCCTTTAATCTAGACTCAATTCAATCACAGTTATGTACTTTGTTTTTCTACCCGTTAGAAAAACATATCCTTAGGCGCTAATTTAGGGATTACAAAATATTTTCTTTCCTACTCATTAATTCTGGAGGATTTCATGCGATATGCTGAATCACTCCTCTCCCTATATGTATCACTCAATTCTATGGAATAACACACAACTTTCTGTATACAAATTCTCAGATATTCTCAAAAATCATAAAAGCTTGTATCTATTTATTTACACTTGTTAATGAAAAGCATAGCCTAGAGGTCACATATTATGAACTCTAGCAAGTTTGGCAAATTGATCTAGCAATCACATCATTGTTCATGCCAGCCATCACAAATCCTAGTTCCACTGCTATCCCTTTCTCAGCAAAAGGGAAAACAATCCGCATATACAGAACGAAGTCATATCCATGCACTTTGATGGAATTTCACATCCCAAGTGAGCGTGATTCTACACACTAATTTATTGATACAAGTTCCATTTCCACGTCCAAAGCATTGATTTTCATATACCATATAAAGCATAAGACATAGCATTTCATTGCACATAAAACCAAATGATTCCTTACAACTTTTCACTAAAGAGCTCATCATCACATAACTCTTCATAAAGAAAATAGGAAATTAAAAAGGAAAAGCAAAAACTAAAGTCAAATAAATTGTAAAGAATAGATTATAGCTACGCACCAGATTCAGCATCAAGCGAGCACATGTGGTGTGAATGCTTAGTGATAGCGAAGCATCATGCATATTACTTGAGAACAAGTAAATGATCCGCGACAACTGTAGCCATATAAAATTTGAGTCAAGAAAGATCGTGTGAAATCTACGAATGGATGGCATGCCTCGCATGGGCAAACCAAAACAAAATTACAATAACTTAAAACCAAACACTTCTTATTAAAATTAAATCCAATCAATATATCATATAACAATAAAATAAGGACTATCATCATTTTACCATCTAACAATGTGATGTTGATTTTTTTATTTTAAACAATTTATTTGATTTTTTCACCTCTTGTATTGTTTCGAAAAATTTCTCAATATTCATGCATTTGCATGGGTTGAGACTAGTTAACCAAATTCACTATTGCAGTGGTAGGTCCAAGATACAGCCACAATTAACACATATGCTTTGGGAACATATTAGAAATTGACCTAGCAAGATACAGCAAAACAATATTTTGGGTCACAAGACAATACGCCCTAGTCTCTATCTAAGAAGAATGACAAGTCTTATCTTTATGCTGGGCTTATTCTTGCAACATGATTCTTGAACCATAACGAACCCAGTAACAAGAATTCATATCACTTTTTACGCAACAGAAGCAGATCCTCATACACCCTAGAGCTTCTAGACTATAATAGAAGTCTTAATAATGAAATAAAGTCATTGAATATACTAGTCAATGGCACTAAATTCAAAATCTATAGATCATTCAGATGTTTATTTTTCAAGCCTAGTAGTCACACAAGTACTCCATTGAGGAGAAAAGATATTGACTTTAATCTTTCATCAAAAATTAAATATCCAATTTAATCATTGCTAAACTAGAACTAAATGTCCTACAAGAGATTACAATCAGCAATATATACTCCATGTAAAATCTAAAATAAATAGAAGTATGACATACCTGTGCTAAGGAGAGGTCTTGTCGAACGTGATGTACAATCTCTGCCAGAAGACTATAAGCTAAAGGCCTCAATGTCTCAAAGCATGCCCGCCCAGTTCCAACTAGGACCCTAAGAGATAAGGTAACAATAAGAAAATGTTCAAAACAGTTATGCAGCTATTAAGTCTTATCTGCCTTGGTCGAAGCAAAACAACTCAAAGATTCCATGTGACCTTAGCTCAATTCTCCGTCTCCCTCACAATCTTGTTCCTACCATTGTGTCTATCAAATTTCATGCCACGATAGGGTTGGGTTAAAAGCTAAATAAGCAAGTACATCATATTAAACAACCATCTATATCTCTATTCCACAAAACTGAGAGATGGGCATCTGCAAAGATAACCCACGTCCTTTTTTTTTTTTTTTTTTGGGTTGACAAGACAATGTCTCGTATAACTGTAATATCATATGTGACAGGATTGACCATGGAAGGCAGTTATAAACTAGAGCCTAAAAATAGCTGAGACCAGCATTGTAATCCTGTTTTTCATGGGTAATGTGAATAGAACTCAGTTTCGATTCCCTCTCAATTCTCTCCTCTCAGTCATCCTCAGTTTCCTATCTCTCTTCCTCTTCCTCCTTTCTCTCTCTTCCAAGTTATAAACCTGTATCACAGTGACCACATCTAATTACTTCAGTTAGAGAGTTATGACCATCCAGATTAGGATCACTGCGCATGCGAGACACAGACAATTACACTAAACCAGAAAATTTTCTGCATCAACATCTTGTAAGAGATCAAAATGTTACCTTTCTTCCAATAAGGTATCAATCAGAGGAAATAAACCCCTCCTAAAATCAGTTCCAAGGACATGTTTAAGAGATATCAATAATTCCTGCAACACAACAATTTTGGTATTATGCTAAAGAAAGAAAAATCATTTATCAAAATGCATAAGAAATAATTGCGTCACCTTTCTAATCGATACAGAATCTGAACATGTTACAAGCAAATTCACAATGCTTTTACATATACTGTCTTCATGTGGCCTTATATAATCAGCATAACTTTTCAACAGGTAAGTTAGAAAAGAAACTGTCTGCAATGACAAAAATAGAACTGATTAGCATGAACAGTGGAGAATATCAGGATAAGAAAACATATAATTTACAAAAAAAAAAAAAGTTAATATAACCTTTGATCACTCAAATTTGTTTTCATTTTGGTTTTCGTCCTTCAAGTTTCAAACCATGGGTTTTGGTCCTCAAGTTTTTTTTTATCTAAAACATTAGTCTCTGTAATTCAATAAAAACCTAGACCAACATGCCTGCTTTAGTTCCAATATGTTGTTGAAGAAAAAAAAATTGAGAACCAAAATCTAGGCATCCATACAAATGCTGAAACATTAAGTGAAGCACAGTCGATTGTGTGCGCGTGTGTGATTATCACCATAATTGTCTGAAAACTTCAGATGATATCCTCGGTTAAAAATCTACTACTGTGACAACTGAAACATTCAAAATAACTACTTACCTTGACCTGTGCACCCTTAAGCTCAATGAAATGAGTTTTTAAATGTGGAGGAACCTTTTCGGGGCCCGGGACTGATATAGCAGCAACCATTAATGGTAATAATTGAGGAATATTTGCTTGGACAAGACGGCTATACAATTGAAATAGAAACATCACCACCAATGGACTCTCCGTAACTATCTTGAATGAGCGAGTACTTGGGTTAAGCTGCAAACCAGTCGCAGAGGTGGTGCTTATACCTTGATCTGAGAGTGAAGTCTCCATGGGCTTGACATCTTCCCCAGCCACCGACCCAGTCTCAAAGAAATGACCAACGGTCAATTTGAAATTCTGGTAAATCTTGCAGACAAAGTCCAGAAACGGCTGAACCTCATTTTCTAAAGTCGGTCTAAAATTCCTCAAAAGGTCAAAGATAATACGGATGCAAATTAAGCCATTCTCTTCATTATCTGTAGTAAGTACTTGCATAGCTACCTTCAGAAGGTCCTGGACAAAGGGACGGAGTACTTCACTGTGCGGAAGACGATTTAAGATCTCCACCACAATATTTCGAAGCTTGTGCTCAGGATTGTCCACAAATTGCGGCTTTGTAATTTGCAGAAGTATAACCGAGAATGCCCGGAAGTAACATTTAAGAAAATTCAAGTACTCAGCAGTGTGAGCAATCTCAAGACTATCCCGAACTTCCATCACCATCTGCAGCCTCGCCTGAATTGCTATTTTCAACCAAAAATTTGAAAAAGAAAAAAAAAAGGTGGTGAGCAAAGACATGAAATTAACTCGACGTGCCAGGCGTCTAGTTTCTAAGATCATTTCGACTTAGAAATCCCGGGGGGGGGGGGGACACAGCTGGACGAAATGTGAAGTATCAAAATCTCCGCAGGAAGAACGTATATTGTATCTGTAAAATTTCTTCAAAACGCATCTTTCATCAATGAAATAGTAAAAGAAACTCAGAAGCGATGCTCGATGCAGCAAAAGTGAAGGATAGAGTGCATACGCGGATCAGGCTCCACGAGATGACGTGAATGCTGCTCGAAATTCTGAATAGGGCTCATGCTGGCGTTGTGAAAGTAAGGCAAAAATCAAACCAAGTTCAAACCCTAGCTTCACCCTTACAAAATGTCCAGAGAGTATGGTCAATTTCCCTATAACCTATGATTCTAGGGTTTAAAAAATAAATGACCATTGGATGGCAACCATTTCCTGAACACGCGAGCTTTCAACGATGGAAGCTCGGCTCCTGGAGCGCATGCAACGATTCATACAGCCAAAGAAGAATAATTCACAGCGACTAGTTCTAGCTGGGCTAAAGAGGCACCAAGTAACAGTATTTTCCCTCCTCTTCCCCTCGCCGCCCTGGCAAACTCGGCAGTGCAAGAGGAATAGTTTTGGAAAAAAAACAAAAAAATATCCTCAAATATATAAAATTCCAAATCAAGATTAGCCAATGGCAAAGTCTCACGTCAAGAAAGGGTACTGATTTGGCATTTTCAAATATTGATAAAAGACAAGTTTGCCCTTGATAAATTAATAAAAAGAAGAATACTGTAGAAAATAAGTTAGTGCAGTCCATTTATATAAGCGTGTTGTTAGTTAATTTGAAAGCATTGTTAACACACCTCACAATGAGACGATAACTAATTTGTCAAAGTTTCTCAATTGGTTTGGCCTGTTATGAATTTTATTGATTACTTAGTGTCGATATATATAAAATTGTCGTTAATATATTTGGAAGAGTTATCAGTAGTCCTAACAAGTTAGCAACATACTTGGTTTGCCTTGTAATAGAGTTTCCTAATTAGTTGTTGTCAATGCATATAAAAGTATTGTTAGTCCATGCATCTAACAAAATTGTAATGAATTTTTCTGATTAGTTGTTGTTAATACGTATAAAAGTGTTGTTGATCCGTTTGGAAGAGTTGTAGTTGAGGGAGAGAATAGAGATTCATATATATGGTTTTTACAAAATCTACTTGATGATATCAGCAGCATGAGAGAAAGAAGATGGGTCTTCATATCTGACTAGCAAAAGGTATTTTAGTATAGTTTAGGCTTTTATTTGAAGTATATTAATATGTGATTATATAACTGATTGTTTAAATAACTTGCAGGGGCTTGTTCAAGCATTTAAAGAGTTACTTGAAAGTGCTGAACTTCGATTTTGTTTGCGTCATTTGTATGCAAATATCAAGATAAAATATAGAGGAGGAACCCTAGTTCGTGATTTAGACATTCGTGCTGTGAAAGTCACTATTAAGGCCGAATGGAGGGAATGAATAAATGAGTTGAAAACAGTGTCAAATGGAGCTCATGATCATTTGATGGGAATCCCTCCAACTTGTTGGTCCAAGGCTCATTTTTGCAAGGCTTGTAAATGTTACATGATCATCAACAATATTACATATTCATTCAATGAAAGATTGTTGGAGGCGAGAGAACTTCTAATTATAAGCATGCTTGACTGGATCCAAACCTACCTTATGACTCGATTTGCTAAAAATTGTGTCAAGGTTGAGAAGTACTGTGAAAAGGGAATGGTTTGCCCATGACCTCACAAAAGACTAGATAAGAAAGTTGAAGAAAGTCAAAGTGGGTGGCTAGAGTTACAGGCAACAATAGATATGAAGTCTCACTAAATAGACATAAGTTTCAGGTTGATCTTACTACTAGAAACTGCTCTTATTATTGGTGGCAGTTGAATGGAATTCCATGCAGGTAACTTCTTTTCCATATGTTTAATTTATAAAAGCTAATGTCATTTACAACCATGACTTATTCCTTATATATTCAATGTAAAACAAAAAAGCCACGTACAATTTACATATATTAATCATCTTGCCACCAAGTAAATATAATTAATGTGACGTGTGTTACTTTTTATTCAAAATAAAATATCATTCCTTTCTAATAAATATGGCTGAATGTTACGTGTCTTGTGTTACAGGCACGCTATTGCTTGCATATATGCCAAGAGAGAAGATCCAACCGATTATATGGATAAATACTTGAGTTTGCAATCTTTTGTTGCTTGTTACTCTCTCGTAATTGAGCCTATCAATGGTGAGAACATGTAGGCGAAAGTAGATGGTGAATCAATTGAGCCTCCAATATATCATAAGCGTCTGGGAGACCAACGAAAAAACAAAAAAGGGGCAGATGAGAACACAACTGGTACTAAGAAGGAGAGGCGCCAAAATACAACCCTTAAATATTCCAATTGTAGGAAGCATGGATACAATAGAAGGTCGTGCAAGGAACCATCCATAAGCGATGGTGGTAAGAAGCAACGTCCAAAGAAGACACATTGTCCCAAGATGCAAATCAAACGAAATCCAACAACTATGTGTCAACCTCCTTGCACACAAGAGTCTATTCATGTTACTCCTTCAGGAAGTAATCAGCCTTGAGCTAAGACATAATATTTTAGTGAAAATATTTTAGATGCAATACTTTAGTGAAAATATTTTGGACGTAATACTTTAGTAACATTTTTGTTACTTGGATATAAGGAAACTTGACAGGGATTAGAAGTGATTGTATGGACCTTTTGATTATCCTGACCTTTATAAGTTGGATCACTATTTTTTGTGCAGTCCTACAGTCGTTGGTTCTTATGTTACTTGTTTTTATGAATATGTTTTTTAATCATTAATATGTTGTCATATGCTCTCTGGTTGCAATAGGAATAAATCTAGAATTTTCACAGCTAGGGAGTACTTATTTTCCTAGTAAATTGATAACTGATAAATTCATATTGTGTCAAAGTGCATTCCAACCCCTAAGGTTTTTCGTTTGTCGCAATTTCAACCTAAATGTATTTTAAGGCGCAATTTTTGTCACGTTGTATTTCCAAGTAGGGCAATGTTCAACCTATTGGACAATTTGGCTACGTTGACTATGAGCAAGTGTTTTGACCGTGTGTTGCTGAATATTATTACCAGTTCTTGAATATATATTCGAGAAAACTAGTTCTCGAATATATATCAGAGAAAAGCAGTTTAGAAAAAGGTAATTGAACAAAACATAAGGAGCAGCCCAAATATGTACTCGAGAAGATGAAAGACCACTTCTTGAATATGTATTCAAAAAGACAAGTTCTCGAATATATATTAAAGAAAAATAGTTTAGAGAAAGATAATTTAGCAAAACGTAGGAAGCTTCTCAAATATGTGCTTGAGAAGACCAATTCTTGAATACATAGTAGAGAAAACTGATCAAAAAAAATTCTTAGGCCATAGTTTTGCTAGAAATTATAAATTTAGAAAATGCATTCGTCATTAGAAAAACATAAATTCTAACAACTCGTACATATCCCAAATAAACAAGCAACAAACAAAATACATTTCCCAAATCTTCTTTGCCTTTTCTACCCCTTTGCCTAGCACCGATGCCCAAGTTTCCCTTTTCCTTTTTCCCTTTAACCTCAAGCGAGATCTCTCCTTGTGCACTAGTGTTCCCTTTTCCTTTGTGCCCTGTGTGTGTTTTACATTCACCTCTTTTTTAAAAAAAAAAAAAACAATTTTCAGGTCTCAGTCACCCACCCATGTAGCAAGTGTTTTTTTTTTTAAAAAAGATTTCCAGGTCATAAGTCCACATAGCATGTCGCATCAACGAATTAAACAGTTTTAAAGACACATTAGCATCATTAACACCGTTAACACGGGCACCGAGTCCTTTTTAAATTAGAGGGACTAACAGTTTTGGACGAAGCAAATTTGAGGAACCAAAAGCTCCGTTGAAAACTTCAGGGATCAAATACAAAATGAAGGCAAACTATAAGGACCAGTCGTTATATTAACCCTTTTAAAAACTCAATTGCACCAAAACTATCATGTAAAATTTGGATCATAGGCAAGTAATCTATTTAAAAAAGAATCATGAGTTTTAAAATTTGTACAAATCTTAAAATTTAAAATTAATGATTTTGGTTCTTGAACTTTAACTTTATTTTAGTTATGGTTCTTGAAACAATTTTAGAGACCAGTAACAAAATTAACCCTGTTTTAAAAACTAAATTGCATCCAAACTATCCTATAAATTTTGAATCATATACAGGTAATTTCTTTTAAATCAGGAGTTTTAAAATTTGCATAGATAACTATCAATTGTATAGTCTCTTAAATTTTATTTTACAATCACCATTACTAATTTTTCACATGTTTGGATAAGCTTTTGGTCAATTTATAGGCCAAAAGCTGATTTTTGCAAAAATCTCTTGGAACCTACTGGTAGCTTTTGCACATGCAGCATATGACATTTTTGTCTATATGTTTATGTCGTCTTTCTGTCTCTCTTTACATATTTCTTATACTTCCCAATCAATTTTAGTTATTTATTTTTAATACTCTCTTAAATTAAACATAATTTTTAACATAGCTTTTTATAACATTTGAATTTTAATATTATTTTTCATTCTATATTTACATTAATTGTGGGAAGAATATCATCCAATCAATTATGCAATATTATTTGGTTCAAAAATTTTCACATTAATATGATTTCTAAGTTAAATATATTATATTCACTAAATATAACTTCTTCCCGATATAATAATTTAAAATTTAAAAGTATTATATTATCATTAGAATAAATCAAAGCCAGCAGCAAAAATAGAATTAAGGGTTATAGTAAAGAGATAAATTGTAAACCTCATAAATGATAATTTGTTATGCATGGTAATTAAACAAAACAATATAATTGAATAACAAAAAATAGATCAAAATATATGTAGAGTTATAGTTTGTTTGGTATTAGGAAAATGGTGAGGAGGGAATGGGAGAGATAATAACGAACTTGATTTTAAAAAAATCAGAAAAGTGGGGTTTTAAAAATTTAAAAGAGAAAAGTTCTAAGATAAAAGAGTAATAAAAATTAATTAAAAATTTTAATCCCATTTCTTCAATTTTAAAATTAAGCTTATTAAATTTTTCCTCTCTTTCCTTCCCTTTTATTTTCCTCATACCAATCATAGGGTTAAAGTCTAATTTTGCCCTGAAGGTTTTGATTAATATATATTAATTTGTGTAATATATAAATATAAATATAAACTAATATGTAAGGATAAATCAAACAAGGGTTGATTAAATATCCATTCCTTCCCTGCTTTTTAATCAGACCTAACAAGACCTAACAAGCCCTTAATCACTTTTGGGGGGTGTTTCAAAAAATTTTCGGAACCTCTCCCATCCTCTTCCTTTTTTACCCCTAAGATCAATATTTTAATGTAAAACTATTATTAAAATATTAAATTATGATAATAAGTAAATAATAAATTACAAACTATATTAAAATTTAATTCTAATTCCTTTCAAATGTATTAAATGTTTTGAA